TAAATTTATTTTTTGTAGATGACTTCACCGTGGAATTAGTGCCTGATCGGTTTGTTTGATGTGGGAAAGGCTGCACATCTCCGCCACAGTGCATCGCCTCTCTGCAGACACTTTCTTCTCCTCAAAAGCGTCTAATAGTCGTGAATTTTTTTTTATTATATTTTTCCTAATTAAAGATGTTATTTGAATTGTAAATGTGGAAGAGAGGATACTTGCAACCGTTTTGCCCCCTCTCTGTCGAGACCCGCGGCCATCACATAAACAACCACCCCATTTGGAAGTTGCGCCGAGGAGCTCAACATAAACAAAGGAAATTATTTGATGATTCAAGTGGGGAAATAAAACAAAAATTTGAAATTCTTCAGAATAGGGAGAAAGTCACAAAATCTGCCTTCTTTGTTACGGTACTAGGCCACACACGTACTTCCAGTGACGAAGTTTGTTTATTTATTCATTTTTTTAAGCAACGGGTGTTTCTTTGTCGAAAACGTCAAACTTTTTTGTAGCAAGCTGGTATTTCCACAGCACTTCTCTCAAACTTAGCCCGATTCCTTTTTTCGGCATTGTGTCACCAATATCCCAGGATGAAAAATGTGAGGACCTTACCAGAAAAAATACAGATTTTGATGAAACTAGTCCCATTTTCTCGTTTGAAACAAGCATAAAGGAAAAAAATTTGAAAAAATTACTTTGAAAGAAAAAAGAAAATAGGTTTATGGATGAGGCGACGTAGTTGATTCGGAGTGTTGGGGAGGGAAACGGAGGATTCCATGAATAAACTACCTTATTAAAAGGAAGAAAATTGTGCTAAAATCCTTTTTTGTTAAAATAATCGAAAATATGACAGAATTTCCCTCGCAAAGTTGGTCCAACTTTCACATTTTCTGTACCGTGGTAATTCGGTTGGTTGATGAATAGATGGTACAATCATTTTGCGGATAGAAAATGAAGAATATTTTTGCTTTTTAAGGGTCAACTGGGCATTTTTATTTGTAAAATAGGTTTAAAAATGCCTGATTCTTTAAAAGAAAAGCCTTTGTTTGATGCATATACTCTATGTTGAAGTCATCACCTGTCAGTGTCGGTGGGCTGAAATCCCCTCTCAAATCAGGCAAGATTGGTTTGCCTCTCAGGGTCAATGGAACATCCAAATGCAGCTAAATCCACTTCCATCAGACCCTTATTTACTAACTGTTTATCCTAATGAGCTGATGCCAAGAAAGGGTGACATTCACTGCTTGCAGCTCGGAGTTGTAGTCTCAGCAGAAGGTAAAAGGCGAAGACGGGAAGTAATGTCCCCCCTGCCCTTCCCATCTTAAATTACGAGTATTTCCACGATTAAGTTTTAAGGGACGGGAAGTGAGGCCTCACACTGGTTTGTGAAAGCATCGACTGTGCTTTCTTCCAACTGGTTGACAAGTCGTAACTACCTTCGAGGTGGAAAGTATGCTTGCGAGGGATTGGGAAGCATTCCAGCGAACAGATAGATGGATGGGCAGATCTTGCCCATGATTGTACGCAGTACGAGCTTAGTCCTCTGGACGTAAAGCAGAGGGCCTTTTAAAGTGCGATGTGAATAGCAAATACTTAGAGAATACGAGACACCTTATTACAGAAAAACAAATCCTGTAACACTTATTACTACTTAAAAGGGAATGTGGTTATAAGTAGACTGACGGTTTTGATAAAGACCAAGATCTTGATTGAATGGCGGGAAAAGGTGTAACTATGTATTCTTAATTGTAGGTTAACAAAGAATTAACTCGGAACATTTTTCAGGTAAATTAACCTTGAAAAGCAAAGACGCTTTAATGCTCTAACTGTCGGAACGCCCTTCTGCAGCGCACCGCTCACACGGTCCGATACGATTCCTTCGAGACCTCGATGTTATCCCCCAAAGAAAATAAATTTTTCTAGCACCATCTCAAAAATATTTCTGCAACAAATTTGTAAATTTGTTCTCCAACGTAAAATTACCTATTATCTCATCTAAATGTCACTTAAGACGTACCGTATCTTCCAATTTGCATCGGTCCATCGACACGAAAAACCACCACCACCATCACCCCTCCTTCTTGCCTACTCAATGTTTTATGGAAATCAGACACGCTTTTAGGCTAAGTGAATTGGCAAAAAAGTTGTCCACCCTCCTCCTTCTCTTACTTTTGGTTGCAAATACACTTTGCGTCCATTTTCAGCCCCTCCCAAAGTTGTGTCCCTCCTTTTTTTTCGGGAGGGTAAGGAGCTTCCACTTGAAGTATGTGCATGTATGTGGGTGCAGGCATCCATGCATCAAATTTCGCATTTTGACAGATAACCGTTCCACCCACTTTGACAGTTGGGAAATAAATATGTCCATACACTCACACACACATACGTATAGGCAAATATTTTTTCTCCTCTTATGGACAAATATTTTGAGGTGGGGCGAACACGTCCCGGGGGCATAGGACTTGGACGCAGAGAGGAGGAAATTCGTGGTTCTGGCAATAAAGTTGGCGAGTAGGTAAAGTTAGGACATAAGTGAATGTACTACAGTGGAAAGGCTGTCATGATGTTGTCATCCTATGTCTTTTTATCTCAGATAACCTATTTTTCTGCAAGGATTGGTCTAAACTAACTTCAGAAAGGTCTTTAGACACTGCAATCTTTAATTCAATAGGAGGATCTTAGGCTTAAATGTCATGGGGGAACTAATTTTCCCCAGACTCCTGAATATGTATGGAATCTCAACAGTTGTTTTAAATCCTGCCTTCTCCAAGGAGGCGAAGAATAACTGGAGTAGTACCGTGTAGGGGCGACTAGGAAGCTGCCGATGTGGACCTGCGTCCTCTGCATTTCTAGTTGCTGAATGGAGTCCAGTGGAGTCAAGTGAAGTTAGGAGTGACGGAAGGGAATGAATGCAGACTACTATCTCCTTGAGCCGATGTTTACCCGGCTTTTAGGCATTTGTTTCCATAAAAAGCGAGAGAGCTATAAAATGCATGCATTAAGGACAAGTCCATTGAATTCTTGCAATGCGGTGACAGGCGAAGTCATCAAGCGGCATTGCTGGTAATGGGATTAAATGCCTCCTCGCTTGGTGAAGCGATTAACAGGGGCTCTTCTACCCTAGAACGTGGGACATAGTCCAGCCCTTTTCATTATCTCCCAAACAGATTCGCGCTCGTTGCAACTAGCCTTGGAAAAGCAAAGTATTCAGGAATCCAGATCAGATTTCTGGTACATTCTGCAACTAATAGGTGGGACCCTCCCAGATCTGCTGATTTATCCAAACATATTCATTCCGATCTCGTGCTTCGTCACATCCACGATAGAAGTCAGACGGTGGAAAGAGACAAAGAAGGAAAAGGGCTATAATACACACCGATATTGTGTCTATTGTAGTGAGTAGCCAGACTGTGTCTTCGTTCTATGCTGGATGTACTCCCCCTGGATAGCATGACTCTTCAGCAGTGTGTACAGCCTTACAGCCACTGTCTCACCGTTCTTCCATGCTGCTGTGGTGTTAATAGGAATTCACGGATGCCTTGAGACGTCTATAAAGACTACTGGCATGTCTAAGTTGGTACAGATAACAGTAGCATCATAAAAAGTAAATTTATTACATTGTCAAAGAGAGTTTCCTTTTTCTTTGAAGAATCTTCACGAAGAACAAAATTGAGGAGGAGGATATCAACTTTGCCAAATTTATACCCCACAAAATAGATTTCATGTAATTCGAATATGCAAATCTACTCCTTTAATGATTACTTCTGGTAATAAACTTGGTTTAACTCAAGAAGGATGGCAGAGATGGAGAAGCAAATAAAAGGGGCATAAAACCTCCCATCATAGAAATTATGTCCCACATGAAGAGGCCCTATCATTGTAGTCAGTCGGAGTTCTCAAAAAATGTGCAAAACGGTTTGTCTTTCTATACTTTTTCACAGGAACAAACCAACCAAAGACAAATTAATTTTTGCCTACGCCTTGACAACAATAAATTATAAATCTTCCTGTCTGGAGTACGCGGCTAGACAGACGAGCATGTAAGTAGGAAAGCTACACATTAATCATACTAAGGATTTAAATTTACCTTAGGTTGTAGAAGCCACTACTAATACGTTAAAAAAACAGAAATTCTTGTTTGAATTTACAAAAAGGTGTGACCTTCGTCAATCCCCGGTTTCTCAATGTGATTTTTATGAATAAACCTTTGCTTTAGGGAAATTTCTGGGGGATTTTTCCTCTTTTTTTAAGAAAAGTACTTATAAAGCACTTAAAAAAGTAAACTCCTTTACCGCACATGACTCTACATCTGTCACCGGTGTTACACTACAAAAATTTCCCTAACTACCATTTCTGTTACTGAAAAACACTAAGTTGGGTTGTGTGGTAAAGCGAGTTGTTTTTTTTTCATGCTCATTTCCCAAAATAGCAATATGATAAAATTATTTTAGGCCTCGAACAGGTCTTTCATTCTAAAAAAGTATAGAAATTATGATCTTTTTCTTTCCCTTATATCGAGGTAGACACATTTACCGGTGGGAGGGGTTGTGATCAATTGGACTCCTTAGTAAGACAGTGAACTTCCACGTCTCTCCCTCCTCCTTAGAGATGAATATATTCTTGTCGATTCAGTGTGAGAGTGAAGAAGTAGCAAAAATCTGACCCATCCTGGATTTTCATTGTTTCGACCCGAGGAAAGTATGTATATGCATGTGATGCAAATTAACGCTGAAAAAAAACTTCTTATCCTCCCATTTTGAGAAGTTTCTAAGCCATTTTGTTAAGGAAAGTGAGAGAGACATGACAAATGTTAAAGATAATGCCAAAAATTTACACAGAAATTAAGCAAAACTTGGATGGTGTATTGCTGACAGCACAATAAGACATGCCCACCTGACGCGTCTAGTCAAAAACCTTTGTTCACACACACACACATGCAAAACGCAATGAAAATGGGTAAAGTGAATTCCCGTCCGCTCGTGTTTTCTATTCCCCAGCAATCAACTGACGTTGTTTAGGTTATCGCGATCAGCAAGACTAGGTTGAGGTGTTTGCACTCGTGTGTACGGCTTAAAATAACACCTATAAATTCAAAACATGATGGACGCACCAAGGGAGCTAGAGAAGAGGGTAGGTAACCACTTAGCTTGGCGTGGACTCCACGTCAAATGTGCCTCCACAGTCTGCGCCTCCACCCCTTCCATACTCCTCTAGCCTTCCAGTTTCTCTTCCCTTCTGGAATTTCAACGATAGATTCTTCCGGTTTTACTTTGATATTATAACTTTAGAGCCAGTCATCATGGCAGAATTGAGTGACTTCAAATTTCAGGCCAAAAATTGCTTTAAAAGCGAATTTTTGGCAGTTCCTTCTATGAAATAATGGAAAGCAAAAGTGCGAAATCTTTGTGTATTTTAGCGAAGCTACTGGGAGGAGAAAAGTTTCACAGCTCCGTCACTTCCTGCACAACCGTCAGGTCAATGTATGCCGATGGAAACAAACCGAAGTAGCATGTCTTAAGACATAGATGCAGTTTCCATTAGTTCCTTTTTTTAAAGAAATATTTCAAAAAATATCCGCGAGACCAGTGGTTTAGTAAAAAAGAATTGGAAGGCAAAATATCCTCGTGAAGTAAGTGATGAAAAGCGGATATAACGTCGTTCCAGTACAACTTAGGATAGATAGCATGTCTAGACGTCTCAGAGGGAGCACTGTTTTCTGTGGATGGTTGATTCTGCAGAGTTTTACAGTGGAAACGACTGCAATTTGCGGGAGATGAACTATCGCATCTGATTTCGTGAAGAAACTACGCAAAGCCACGAAAACGACACCTTTAACCCTCGCTAGTTTCGCCGACCGTCTTACCGCGCGAGATATTCACACCCTACAACTTTGGGAACGCATCTCGATACCCTGGAGGCAGTTCACACTCCTTAGCCTTCCAAGTCTTCTGTAGCCCCTGAAGCTTTCCTGTGCGCCTTGTTGCAGCTTCGATGGGGGGAGGGGGAAGTTGTAACCACTGTCATGCTTGTCAAAAATAACCGAAAAACCCTTTCCACCTCACGGGAATACTAATTGAAAATAAAGACAGCTTTCCGTCAATTACTTGATCGTTATTTTGTATTTCATGCAAAAAACTACTTCCGTTCTTTTTTATTCAAAACGTGAATTGGTGGAGTTCTTGAGAGGGCTGACTGGTTTCATATAGGAGGAAGAAAAAATCTCTAAAAAAAAACTTTATTATCTGCGAAAGAGACAAGGCTCTTCAAGGTAAAACCTTTGTTTATTCACAAGTTGTACAGATTTTTTTAACCACACCTTGGTTGTCAGACAAATGAGGCAGTTTTTGTCTGTCAAACGACAAAATGACAGTTTTTTTGAAACAAAAGCTGCGTATGAAGGCGCTTCGCGCACTCAAAATACGCTGACCAACTTTTTTGTTTTATTTCATAAACAAACATAAAAAGTTGGCTTTACTCATTCCAAACTTTTGAGGTAAATACGTTCATTTTGAAAGAGATGGAGAAGATACCCTTACGCGTCATAACCGTATAGTATACTTATAAAGCTTGACCTTACTTCACGGCTCTCTTGAAGAGTTAAAAATAGCTTTTGCTTCAGAAAACGCCAAAAAAAAGCATTTAGTTGACTAATTTTGTCACCTTAAATTTGCACCTTTGTGGTGGTTAAAGCACTTTGGTTAGGAGTGAAAACATTACATTACTCCTATAAGCATTTTGGTGGCTTAAGTGACATCAAAAAATTGTCAAAACTAGACACAAAAAGTCTCTAAAAGTGTCTAATCTTGAAGGCTAAATTGTTAGTTGGACACTTCATAGGAAAAGCGATGTTACTCCTCACCCGCGAACGAGATACCCAGCTGAAACCAGCCACTACACATCCATACACTCCCCGAGTCTGGGCCAAAATTACCGACATCATGCTGGTAGACAAAGTAAAACTAACCTTGGACCTTGATCACCAATTTTGCACGCATTCTCCTCTTCCTCGCCTTCTGTATCTGTCGAGATGACAGGTGTCGATTGTATTGATGATGGTGTGGGCTGAGGTGAAGAGGAGAGAGGAAGCGTGGTGCTTGAAGAGGTTGTTGACATCGATGCTGTCGGTGAATTAGAGCAGTGCTGCTGATGCGGATGATGTGGCTGAACAACCACGATCACTGTGGAGGCTTGAGAAGTGTTGTCATCCTCTTCAGGGATTTTAGAGAGAGGAGCACACCGAGTGGACTCCTCTAAGGCTGAAAGTAGTTGAGTGGGTTCACGCTGACGAAGAGATCCAGATTCGGGTGATAGAGGCTGAAAAAGTGAGGGATATTTGAGGCGTTAGCCTTCATTCTTCACACGAGGAGCTGTTTTATTGGCATCTTTCCTACATCAATTCAATGCAAAAATTTGTTCTATAAGTGAATTGGAAGAGATATATCAACAGATAGCTGAATGTGCGATGTGTTGGAGGAGAATAGCCTTCTGCCGACGGATATATGCAGCCCCAATGGTAATGTTTGCTCGTCGATCTACTAGAAGATTCTACGAATTCCTCCTTTCTCAATCGTTTTAGAAGCACATCTTAGCACTCTCGCTAGATTCCTCCTGATTGATGAGTAGCGCGTGGAGACGTCTTAGATGTGATTAACGTCACCCCTACAAATTAGGACTGACCTAAGCGTTCCGTACTTCAAGTGGCAACCGTGTACAGAGGTACTGTTGTTCTTAAGGCTCTCTATTTCTCTTGATCACAGGATTCCAGCTACTGGCAAAAGAAAGTAGCTTACTGTACCAATTCATCTAGGGTCCAGCACTACCTTTACAAATGGACTTCTCGTCGATGTTATGCATCTTGTAGCGGTACTGTTTCACCATATTCTTCTCGATTATGTTCTTCATTGTGGAAAAACTCACTGGAATTCATGTTTCAGTTGGATCAGAAGGGCTACCACATTGTGCAAGAAAGAGGGTCTGTAGAAAGTGGCACAGGCCTTATCAAGGGACCGAATAAGTTTGCGCGACTTTGGATACACCTTGTTACAACAACATCTTGCAGGTCTTGTAAAGATTGAGGAAGCGTATATATTTCGGTAACCACAAGCACCGATAGGACAGCAACAAGTCGGTCCATCAAGGTAGAGTTCACCGTTGTGCACTCGCCCACCACTTTCCTTTCCAACCCTCATTTCTTGATACCGGTGGTTATCGTTAGTGAGTAAAATAATTTTACACCTGAATTTGAAAACCATTCACTCATCACATGCTCCACACTTTTGGGATAGGCACTATATCCTTAGAAGACCATGCACACTATGCGAGGGAAGTCGCTGCGTTTGTTTTCTTTTGTTTAAGACCAACCAACCGCTGGTGAGAATGATCGTTTCAACAGAAGAGTGCCAGGACAAGTTGATCAGTCGGGGAGAACGAAGTGTCATTTGTATTGCGAGAGTTACTAATAAGAAGGCTTGGAGCTTAACAACGGAGGGAAGAGGCTACTGCGGAAACCGCCGCCCTACCCTCCTTAGTCCCCTCAGGATGTTTCCCGCGGTGGCTTTCGTCAAACAAACGCCTGACAAGTGGGAAACAAAAGGAGTGAAGAAGGAGCAGAAATGGCAAGTTTTCTTGCTCAAGAAAACTTTGTATAAGTAAAACATATGTGGATGGCTTATCCGACTCAGAAAGGATTGCTAACCACCACCTGTAGAAGGAAGTGCTTTCTGTGAATCAGTCCTTATAGTGAAGGAACAAAACTGCACAGGCATGTTTGCACATCAATCTATTCTAACAGCCTTTTTTTGTTACATCTTAAGCGAGAACTTGGTCGGGACGTTGTTAACAGATCTGATAAACTCACTGTGATGGAAGGACAATCCCTCACTGCTCTATGTCAAAATGACAAAGCAGGAGAACCACCTCTTAAGGCAGATGGATCGTGGGAGACTCACAACAGAAGGACCGTTAAAATCACCTCGACATTTGGTAGCTTCCCTCAGCACAAAGCTTACACTGACTGCCGGTAATTAAAGGGCAACCAGATGGGAAATCGAACAAGTCACTCGGCAGGAAACAGATTACAAATGAAATGTGAAATTGGTGGAGTCATGGAGAGGAAGTTGAGGCGTTTGTTCTTTGCTTACCCGTTTATCTATTCATCCATCCATTTCGCGATCTCCGATCTATCTTACTTTCAGTCATCTGACTAACCGAGGCGGATGCAGATGCCCTCCGGGCGTGGTAGTCAGCTTAGCTCAGCTAAGTATAACCGACTTAAGTGGGTACAGCCTCTCCCCAAGCTCCAGTGCAGCTTTCTTAGATTCAGCGGTCGAGTCAGTGGGCTATAAGGCTTGAGGACATCTGAAAGATCCGTAGAGCCCGGCAAAAACTTGTCTTTAAACCATTTGACGCCAGTGCCAAGCCGGTTCTCCTTTCCATCCGCTTTTTCCTCCAGATGCAGATTTGCTTGTTTAAGCGAGAACGCATTGGCGGCAAAATAACTATCTTTTAGTGGCGACTTTGCCAGATTTGGGGCAAAAAACGGAAAGGGGTATTCTGTTCTATAAAACCTCCAGCTCCGCAGTTCATTCAGACAATTAAATATTATTGTCTCCCAAGTAAAGGTCCAGGAATGGAATTGTTTAATTTTATGCCATAAAGTAACGCATAAATAAAAAATAAGGAAATTTACTGCAGGAGGTTTCTAAAAAAGTCCATTTTTATATGGTTTTCAAGTTTGTAAAGCATTAGGGGATATATAAAAGGAAGTTTTACGGCTCTTCCAGTCACCACTTCAATGCGGTATACTAGAACATATTTTTTCCCAAAAAAATGCTTAAAATTTGCCTTCAAAAAGCTTAAAGCCAGTTTATAAAAACTTCACCATTTTCGTTTAAAAGAATCGCGTCTTTGCGGCAAAAAGGAAATTTGGCTAAATTTCCGGGAAAAAAAAACAAAGTGAGAGCGAATTCCCGGTGAAAAGAATGTTTTATTTAAATATTTTCCAGGCAAATATATGCATCTTACTAAATATAAATTTGCGCCTATTTATATATAATTTTCACGATGGATTGTAGTATGAAAACGTTCTTCGCCAAATTTCCAAAAGATCCTGGAAAGAGGGAGTTGGAGGAGGCGAAGGGGGGGAAAGGAGGGCATTTAGCGTGCATAAAATTAAAAGTAATGCGATTTCCCGAGCAAAACGTTTCACAGTGGAGTGGACTACCAACGAGCGTCCATTTGGAGGGCTAGAATAGGCTTTGAACTTTTGTCCACCTTGGGGTCTGCCGAGGCTCGGCTCTTGCAATCTGTCTGCTCCGCAGACTCCTTTTTTTCTTCTTCAAAAGCTAGTTTTGTGGTAATTAAATGTTTCAGTGGGTTGTTTCTTAACAGAAGCCAAATTTGTGTAGTCGTTTTCAGCTATCAAAAGATTTACGATGGATTTAGTTTTCGCTATTAAGTTTTGGACAAAAAGGAACTGCCTTAAGTGATGTCAATTAGAATGTGGTGGTCTTTCCTGTAGGCTATGGAATGACAACAGAAAGAAGGTGAATTTTCCACCAGCTGTTATCCACCATATTGTACCACTCCTTAATTCAAAGTGACAGGTGGAATATGCCACTTCTCTGGACAGAGGGTCATCCAGTTAAGCATTAACGCATCCATTTTCAGCGCTGTTAAACGATAAGCTAGCTAAAATCGTTTGAACTTCATAAGTTCGTTTACCTATCTATCCATTCATCCCGTATCCATCCAACTCTTATCCATTCAGTGGTCCCTGATCCATCTAACCTTTAATTGGTGACCCATCCATTCTTGTGCGATTAATTCGTACCTACTGCCATTAGTCTACCTATCCGGTTATTCATTTCTGCGTCGTCAATCAGTTTCTACCTCTGTTGTCCACCTGTCCATCCGTGTGCCGCCATTTCATCCATTCTAGGTCCACTTAATTTCACCTTAATCAAACATTAATCGCTTTTCTTGGGTAAATCTATCCACATCCACGTGTTGGAGGCATTTGATCAACGCCGATCCGTCCGATGTAGTAGTCCATCTATCCAACCACCTATTTTGCATGAGTCCGTGCATTCATGATCAACAACTATGGGCAGAGCATCTCCTCATCCACCACCAGTGCGGCCACCTCAATTTCCTCCGGCGAATACTGAGGCAACGCGAAATTATTTTGAGGGAATTAAAGCGGGAAATTGAATAAACTATTTCTACATGTCAAAAACGACACATTTTTGATCGTTTTTGCAACTAAACAAGGAGGTCGCCACTGTTACACTTTAGAAATCGAAGGGGAAAAAATTTCACCTCCCATTTGGAAATCATGTTTGGATGAAATGTCTGCGGGATATTTTATTTACTTTGAATAGCTCCTTGTGAAGTTTTATGTTCCTACATAAAATCACTGATGCGGCGCAAAAAGATTCTAAAATTCTGTTTTTTTGCCAAGTAGGGTCTCATTGGTTGACCTCGATTTGACCTTAAAAAGTGCACATTTAAGGAGGATTTAACTGTGTCACTGCCAGAGGAGGAAATAACCACATCAAAATGTATTTTTGGAAGAAAAAATAGAATATTTTTTAGAGCTTGAAGTGATTGTATGCAACTGCTACCCATGCGTTCCCACATCTTTTTGTATCTACATCTGGCACCAAACATGGACGAATTTGGCACCTCCTTTTCCTCGCCTACTCCCACCTCATGGTGGCGCATGAGGACGTGGTCTACCGCAAAGCGAGCGATAAAAACCAACTTCACACTTAAAAAAGCCTTCCCCTTAGGTTCACGGTTTGTAAGGAGATTTAAAGTTTACGCCAAGAAGTTTTTGACTGAAAATTTTTTGGATGTCACTTTTAGCAACTGCTCCGAGGAGTTTGACTGTAATTTCTTGTTCTTGATGAGTTTGAATGGTAAATGAAGTTTGATGAACCAAAATTTTGCACAGAAAGATAATCAACAATTCCTTGTTATTTTTATGTATTATTTATAATAAAGTATAGGTTTGGAGAATTTTTTTGTAATCAATTTCAGTGACGAACCGAAGACAGCTAAATCACTGCGCAATTGCCATAAAAAAAATATTTTCAAATATTTAGGAACTTTTAAAGAAAATACCAATTATATTTGTTTAACTAGGCTCCACCAGTGTAAATTTTATAAACAGGGACAGATTTGAGTTCCCGGGTGAAAACAAGCGTGAGTCCAACCGTGGCCCCGCACCTACTTTTCGACCAATGAATAAAAGGCAAAAAATATTCAACCAAAGTGTTTCTAATTTTTTCTTCAAAATGTATTGGCAAAAGAAAAAGTAAAATGAACTCACAGAGGAATCATTGGAAGGCAGAGTTGAGGGATTTTGGGCAAATGTGGAGAGCGAGGATGCTTGTCTAAAAAAAAGAAAAGAAGTGACCCCCAAGCCTGTATATCCAGAGTTAGATTATTCAAAGTTGAAGACGCTTCGCCTCTGCCTCGGATCTTCTTCAGAAGCTGTTTCCTCCACGAACACACCCGCCAAAATCACCTCAAAATTGGGCACAAAAGGCAGGGGCAGATGCACCATACCGAATTTCCCTCATTTCATTAAAATGAATTAGCATTTTTTTACTTGCCTGCCTGGGGCTGTGGACGCAGCCTAATGGATATTAATCGTTCCCAGAGCTACGTCTCCCCAACCGCACAATTTTCTCTCCTCCGAAACAGTTTTTCTCCCTTTTGAATGAAAAAAAAATCCACAAAAGTATTACCTAAATAGGCGAATGCAAAAAGAGGGTCACTTTTTCCAGTTTTGATTTAAAAGTTAGTACAAAATTTTATTTTTTTTCCACAAGTCCTTCTATGTCTAGCCTTCACAGGGGAAAAGGGAGTATTTAGCCCTCTAAGAGAGTGGGAAATTTTAGGGACACTGTAAAAACAGCTTTTGGGTTAAGAGTTATTGTAAATAAGAAAAGCAGTTAAGCCTCCAATAGAGGAGAATCATGAAACTGCGCAATATTCTCCCGCGGAAAACCAGAAAAAAAACCTATTTAAATGTAAGGAAAAGGTGCGGATTGATGATAAGGTCATGGATTAAAACAGAGAGGAAAGGGAAGAATTCTGACTGACTAAAAGTGAGGGCGAAAAAAGTTTTGGTCTATTTTAAACAACACCGCCGCCGCCACCACCACCAGCATCAGCAACA